TTTGCTCACTCTCTATTTTATTAGGAATGTTGAATTTCTGGCTGCACAGGTTCAATAGGAGGGGTGAAGAATCCCCCACCACCACCTGGTCTCTGGTGGGATTAATGGCTTTAAGACTTTTAGGCTGAAGAGGTCCAAATGACCAGGTAATTCTAGCTCTAGGCAAGTGCTCTACCTGCCACAGTATTATGCAAAAGGTGGGAGGCTGCACCACCATTAGATCCCAATGTTAGATGTAGAGAATGGTGAGAATTCAGAAACAATGCAGTGTTTAATTTTCTGACTGGCTAGCTCTAGGCTGATACAGACTGAGACCAATGATCAGCTGATAGGACAACTCGTATGGCTAGAACATCAACATTAAGGGTTATGCTCTGTTTTGGAAGGATAACGTTGGGAAAAAAGGTGGTGTTGCTGTATCTGTCAAAAATATACATACTTGTTGCCTGGTTCAGGAAGAAGACAGTAGCGCATCGGAGTGTATTTTGGTAAAAATAAAGGTGAAAGCTACAGATATGACTTAATGGTGAGGATTTGCTATAGACTGCCAAGTCAGGAAAAAGAGGTGGATGAGGCATTCTTTCAGAAGACAATATTATCCAAAAGTTATGAAATGGCAGTGTTGGGAGTCTTCATTTTTTCTGGATTATCCGCTGGAAGAATAGCACATGCAAATGTAAAATGTTGAGAAGTTCCTAATTTGTGAGAAGGACAACTTCCTGTTTCAGAAAGTTGATATAACTAGGAGATCATCTATCTTGGATCTTAGTTTCATAGTTTCAAGGGTCGGAAGGGACCTGAGCAGATCATCTAGTCCGACCCCCTGCCATGGCAGGAAAGAGTACTGGGATCAAATGACCCCAGTAAGGTGGTCATCTTGTTTTGACCAATTGGGAAGAACAGGTTAAGGATGTGAAAGTGAGGGGAAACTTGGGAGGAAGTGAACACAGTATGATTATTCATGATTATGAAATGGGGAAAGCATGTGGTAAGCAAAACTAAAACACTAGATATCAAAATGTGGATTTCAACTGACCCAAGCAGATAGTAGACATGATACCGTGGGCAACAGGCTGAAAGATAAAGGGGCTCAGGAGTACTAGAAGCTTCAGAATTTGAAGCCCAACAAGCAGATATTCTAACATGCTGGAAGCATAAGAAGAATGGCAAGAGACCAAAGTTGCTCCACAAGGGGCTCCTAGGATTCCTCAAAAGTGAAAGGAAAGCCTACAGGCAATGGAAAAACAGGCAGGTCACGGAGCATACCAAAAAGTAGCAAGAAACGGCAGGAACAAAATCAGGGAGGTGACGGTCAAAGATGGACTACACCTGATGAGCGAAGTTAAAAATAACAAGAAGAGGCTCTATAAATATATTGGTCAGAAAAGCAAGACCAAGGAAGCTGTGGATCCACTGTTAAATAACTAGGGTGAGCTCTTAACAGAAGAAGCAAGGAAGCCAGATTCTACCATTTTACACATGCTGGGCTCTGCCGTATGGCAAGATTATTTCAGTGGGATTATTTGCACAGTATAAAATAGGAGTTACCACCCTAGTTCTTCCAGCATTTGCTGCTGCACAGTTATGCCGTGTTAGGAGGACAGTTTAAAGAAAGTAGGCAATCTTTTGTTACCTAGAGAAGAAATAATAAACAATGACTTTTTGTATTGTGGTGGTTTTAAGCTTAGTTTTTTCTTAGCAACTAAACTGTTCCTTAACCCTGTTTGGGTTAGTATTGACATCCAGTGCATTTACTTAGGAACGCCCTACAGGATAGATACTAATCACTATTTCAAAGTCAGCTGTGGTAGTATGAAGTTAGGCATCAGGATATCATTCATACGAACATGTTGGATATCCCATAACAATATGGTAAAGGTGATTTGTTACCTTTTTTTATGTTTCAGGTCTTAATAATTACTGCTATTGGCAGAGGCTTTACTCTGACAATGCCTACAGTTAGGTCATTTCTTTCCACTACAGAGAAATCATTCTGTAGCCTCACCTCTAAATGAGAGAGAGAACTAGACAGTGATCCATGTCGTTAACATGGGTCTGAACTAGTCATGCTGAGAGCTTCTAGAACAAAAATTAATATGACTTGCTAAAAATTTCACAGACAACACTTTTTTTTGCTTACTGGAGTCTTTCTTACAGTGATATGTACCTATTTAAATACAGAAACACTCAGACAGAAGGATTACACATTTACATTATTAAATCTGCACCATTTTCTAAAATGTTTTGACATATTCTCAGAGATTTACTAGGCTATTCCACAAGCTTGCCTAGAAATTTATAATCCATTCTGTTGTACTATAAGATGCATCCTTGAGTTTATTTTATGGCATGGGCATAAAGTAAGCTAAATGACAACCAGTTCTAGCCTCTTTTATCCACAGGAATGACCTTCAGTATAGTAAAGTAAGAGGATGTTAGTCTTGCAATTTGATGCATGTTTACATTAATAGAAATGCAGACACTACTGTTCTTGAATGAATGCAAAAGCATAAATTATAGTAACAGCATAACAATTCAATAAACTAATTGTCACTGGGATTTTACTATGAGAGTTATGTAATGTGGTCCAGTATTTCTGAAAAAGCCCAGTCTGAGGTTTTCTAATAGCAGTAGTTGGTACAAGTACCTCAACAGACTTAAGACTAAAATAATGGTTATAATGATGATCAAAGAACCCTAGGAGTTATGAAGACAAAATACGCTTTTAGCTGGACTAGTGAAGGGTTCACATACTGTGATTGAGAATTATTACCTCAAAATACAACAGATACTTCAGCTGAATTCTAAAATAAATTTACTGATACCTCATTTTATCAACAGACATGGTGAGAAGTGTATGTTTTCCTGTAACCCCAAAGATAGATTGAAGTTAGAGTAAATGTTAACTAATTTTTACCTTTTTTTTAAAGTGTTCACCCATCTAATTCAAGCTGTTTCATCTAGATGAAATAAAGCAATAGCTACCCATATGATAAGCATAGTGTTTAACAAAGCAAATGGCCAGGAGGCTAGCAGTGCCAAATATGGAAAAGTAATTATCATGTCACTCAAAACACACTGGATAGGATTTCAACCAAGGGTCAGACAATGAGTAACAATCCAGTATTCTGTACCTCCCAAGAGCTCTCTCATTGCTGTTTCAGTTCAGTTTATTACTGTCATAAAAAACAACTATGATCCCAAAGAATATTTCACTTTCACAGCATAGTAATGAACGGGAGGAGAAACAGTCCTACTCTGGAAGTCAGCAGCAGAATTATCGTTGATATCAACAGGCACCAGGCACAGAATTGTTTCTTAGGATACAAAACAAGATTCAGAAAGAAGCAAGAAAGAATTAAGCATTAGATATATCATATTTTCTTATTTAAATGTTATGGTCCTGATTTGTACTTTTTCTTATGTTGTCATAAATCAGAAGTTATTGGAGATATAATGAAATAAACTTCATGTAAGTGTTTACAATCTTATATATTTGAGGGAAAAAAGGAATGTATAGAAGTAGGAGATCCTGAGGCTGTAAGTACCTTACATCACTGTAATCAAAGCTGGCTTGATAGCAAAAGTATTAAGTCAATATTAAAAAATGGAAAAGATGACCAAGCGGGTCTGATAGTCCATGCAGTTTAAGATTGTAGATTTGGTTTACCCAACTACAGAGACAGCTGTGCATTTTTATACTAGAGCTAAACTTGATTTGGATCCAAGTATTGGATCTCAGACTAGTGAGAATTCAGTTGGAAAGTGTGTATGAATTTTATTATACTCCCCCAATGCCAAAGAACATGGGTAATTACTCAAACAATTAATGCTCAAAAGACTACAGTTGGTTCTTGTTATTGTATTTCCTTAGAGTTGTCCTGAATCTCTTTTTTTTTCTTAATAATAATAATATTTGTCCTTAAGAAGTTCGATGGCATAATAAGACAGATACAGATTATCTATTTAATGGATCAGTTTGCAACCTTGCTTGTATGTGAGCGCAGGGAAATAAGTATGAAATTTCCCCTTCCAATGGCTATCTGTATGATAGATCACACCACCAAGGAGTATGTATAAGAAGCAACTTCCACAGACCCACTCCACCCATTCCACTCCCTGACTGCAACCTTAATTATGCCTGCTTAGAACTATCCACAACCACTGGAAATGTATTTCAGTGTTAGCCAGCACAGTGTCACTTGTTGACAAGGGACAGATACTGTGCCAGGTATAGACAGTCTCTGCTGAAGCAGGAAAAAATGAAAGAAACAATTTTCCAATCTGAGGGTAAAAATAAAGTTTAAAGCTCAGACTAATGGAAGTATAGCAAGAAAAATTGAAGAAATAGTTTTGATTGATTCAGGTTTTTCCTTTTTCATCATTTTGAATATATAGTATAATATTTTTGTTGTCACTGTATTGTCAGCTGTGTATGTTTCTTTGGATTAATAATAAATTTATAGAATGGACAAAGTTTGACTTCTGGTGATATATTTTAATGAAAGAAGAGGCCTAGGGCCAGATTACTGGTACATTCCAGCTGCTTTATGCCAGTCTGATGCTGCAAAGCAACTGTAAAAAAATCTTAACTAGCTAGTTAAATTTGTTTATAGCCGCTTTGTGTTACCAAATGAGCCCAAAGCAGCCAGAGCAAAACAATAAGAGCCAAGCTCATTACAGTTTTTTGATGAAGACCACAAAAGAATAAACCAGGGATCTATGGATTTCAACAAATTTTATGGAAGGAGGGATGGGGGTGTAACTTTTGAATGTGCTGTATAGAGAGCTTCAAGAAATTGCACAAGGTTTGTTCATGTAGACACTAACATTTTTTTGTATTTAAACTACCCTATTTATGGATTAAGTTAGTACGCTCCAATTATAAATATGCAGTTAAAATATATGACATTTTAGGAATCCGCACCCTCTTAGCTGAACTGATATAATACTGCTTAGGTACAGCTTGTCTGGTTGGAACAAGAAATAGCTTGTCTTACCACCAAGGCTATTTGCTTTTCTTCCCTTTTGTAGCTATCCAGGTTCCCTTCAGAATGCTCACAGGAATTCTCTACGTGATGGATATGCTGACTTGTGCAGTGTTCTTGTTCTTCTCCTTTTCCTTGGGAAACAGCCCTTTTATGAAGACCATTAAGAAATACCCCAGGTTGGGGCAGCTCTGTAAATACGTCATCATCACCACCCCTCTCCTCGTCCTCTTCAGATGTTTCTGTTACTTCACAAATATGGAATTTAGCATTAGTTCCAAGTGATAAAAATTCAAAGTCAGAAAAAGAGATAGCACTTGGTTTGTGTTTCCTCACTCTGATCTTGTGAACCCTTTCTGGTATCTCATCTGAACTTCCTCTTGGAAGGAATGGGGAGGGACAGGCGGTATGTAAGGGCAAGTGCACAGGATTGTACTTAGATTTGTGTGTTGAAGAATATAGTAATTCTTCACAAAAATGCTTTATATCAGGTTCATCAGCAGCAGTGACACTGCTTTTAACCATGCCAGGCTCCACAGATGTCTCATTGCAGTTTATTAGGTATGACAGAGAACTGGATTCAGGCTCCCGCAGAATGTGCTGAACTTCAAATTGGCATTCCCATTCTTCTGCCTTTGTTTCATATTCTTCATTCATTGTCTCTGAAGTCTCCTGACACCTGGTAGGTCTAGAATCAGGTGACACTTGATCCTCTTCAAAAAGTTTGTTCTCCATTCCAGAAATTTCATCCATCAGAGGTCAATCTCCTCTTCATTGCTGGAGATATTAAGAACCATAATTCTTCTGTCTGAATCCCTTTCTGTTTTCAAATCCACAGTCATAAGATTATTGTTAAGACTCGGTCATTGATACAAATATTCCAAATGTTTTCTGTTCCTGAAATTCAAAAAGGTAAATCATATTAATGTTAATGCTTACATATTAAGTGCAACAGCAAAAATAATCTTTAGATTTGAAATTACAATATCAAATTAAAAGACAGATCTTTCCCTAAAATGTTAGCTATAGACATAAAAAATAAACTAAAAACCTAAGCAGCTTGGCCCATTGACATCACAGGCTATTAAGAAAGATTAGTTAAATACAGAAAATTTTCAAATATTAGCTCTAAATCAGCTATTGTACACAGTAGACCAGAACAATTCTGATGTCATTTATTTACTGGATAAACACTATGTATTTTAAACTGTCTAAATATGCCCTTATATGCTTGATTGTTATCTGTTAACTCCTTGAGGGGGTTTTAGGCCTTTTTTGTTGAAGCTAGTATAAGTGGGGGAGGGGTAGTTGACAGAGTATACCAAAGTAAAACAAACTTAGACATTTGCTGTAAATTGCAAACAGAGATAATATTGAATTCTGTCCCTCAACTAGTCTGAGCCCATTATAGCACTTGCAAACAGTAAAATGATCCATTTTTAGGTCTCTCAGGACACAAAACTGAAAAGGCTTAATACAGAGTTTCAGTTCTGAGCTGGCTGTTTGGTTGTTGATTTCATTACTGAGAAGGACAAAAGTTGTTTGCACAGTTTTTATATAGCTAGTCTAACTTAGATTGGGTTGGCCATTGTTAGACCAATATAACTGTCCTGAACTCCTGTACAGTTCTCAGCACAGCTCCATGGCTGGGAAAACTCAGCTGCTGGAGCCATCCAAGGGCTGTGCTTATCCTACACCCCACTTCCTGGCTCCCAGCTATCTTCTTTAGGCCCCAGCCCCTCCCACCACCCCCAAATGTAACCATCCCTCTGCAGACCAGCCAACCCCACCCCCCTCATACCGCAAGCTGCTCCTGGTACCAGTTTTAATGGCATTTGCAAGGGTTGGGAGCTGAGGAAGTAAGTTGGGGTGAGAGGTGGGGCAGGTGGAATGTGGAGGTCAGTTCACTGCAGGGGGTTGTTCATCTGGGGTGGGGAGGGATCAGGGGCCTAGAAATAGGCCCTGGTCCTGGGGGTCTGGGAGTGAGAGCCCTGAAGACCCCATGAGCTCCCTAATCCCACCAAACCCTTCCAGACCCCAGCAAGCCCCTGCAGAGACTGCCTACTCCCCTGATATCCCCCATCCCTATTATGGAGGCTGCCTGCCCTGTCAAACCCTCCCCATGGACCCTGCCTGGCCCCCAGTTTCTCCTACAGACCCCCAATTCCCTGCCCCCTGATTTCCTTGAGCCTGCTTCCCCTCTCCCCAATTTTCCCCACACCACCCAAGCCTCCCTCTGCTAGGTCCCTGACTTATCTTAGATTGGGTGGCCATTGTTCACTTGATCTAACCCCTTGGAATGTCTGTACACACCCACAGAGTCTGCCTCCATGTTCTCAGGAATTTTTATTTTGGAACAGACCAAAGCCCTACCTAGTCCTCTACCCTGTATTTGTTGGTGGCCCTATAATTATAGAAATCTCTGAAGGCTCTTGATAGGCTGTTCAATCCATTTCTGAGGGCCCTGCTACGCATTTAGATTAAAGCTGGATAGAAACCAGTTATAGAGTGGTTACACATTTTCAAGTGCTAACTTTATCGTGGGTTGACTCTTATAGCTAGATAGTCATTTTTATCATGTGATAATTATTTTGCACGTGTGGCTAGTCTAAATGTATTGCACTATTAACCAGTTAATTGTGTGATAATTACTTTGTCCTTGTGGCTGATCTAAACTTATTGTGTGATTAACCATTTAATACTATAATATACATAATGTGTAGCAGGGGCCTGAATCTTGCTCAGATCTTTAATTTCAATGACCTCCTCTGGCAGTGACTTCTACAGTCTAAATATACATTATCTGAAAAAGTGTTTTCTTTTATCAGCTTTTGAATTTCCCCTTTTGACTGAAATGTTCTCACATTATGAGAGGAACCTAAGATTAGTTTTTTTCTGTGCTGCTGTGGAGGGGAAATTGAGGATGGGAACCAGGGAAAGAAGAGGTTATGGTTCCACAGGCTTCATATTTCATCCTTATACCTTGTGATGTGGGGAAGTGAATCAGAAAAGACAAGTAAGAACCATAATAATTGCAAGTGAGAACTGATAAATAGACATTTCATAGCTGTTAAACACTGCTCATAATTGTTGGTAGTGTGGATTTGGAAAACCAACTTACAGCAAATTTTAAGACACGTGGAAATTAAAAGAGTTGAATCAGTTGTGCTGCACTGATTACTCACATGAAAAACTGCAATATAGATCTAAAAAACTAACTGCACGTTAGTACTTGCAAAACCTGTAAAATACCTGGAGTGTTAATACTACAGGTATGAACATCTGCACTCACGGGTTCTAAATGCAATAGTAAACGTTCTGTATACGCTCATTAAATCTTTAAAAATGGAGGAATGAATTTGCACAGGCTTTAGTGAACTGAGGTCTGTTTTCTTACTAGATGTGGTACTGGGCATTTTTAATGTAGAGAGAATTTTTGTAAGGAAAATTTCTATTGAACCCAGAAAGAATTAAAATAGGTGCTACCTCAAAGGCTCGCAGCTCTTTTAGTCTGACTGATTTCAGATTAAGATAGACTTTAAAGCTGTTCGAAGACAGCCAAAAAAGATGCTTCATAAGGCATTTTTAAAAGTTCTAAAAAGTGCTATATAAAAGCATAGTACATGTACTATTCTTCCTTTATGTATGTGATTTGTACTTGCAGCCTGTATCTAAAGAAGGGTTCGTGAAAATTTACATTAAATTTAGCAAAGATTTTTGACAGAGTAGGCAAAATGCTGCCTCATAGCTGAGTTATGATCTGATGCCTACAAATAAGAATATACATATTCACATATACAGACATATAGTTCATGATATATCAGCATGAGCCTAGTTTCTTTGTATACCCAAAGCTCTCATTAAATGCATCAGATTTTGAGCAGAGATCATACTCAAACCACCTATTAAATTTAGCCATCGAACGGGGAAAGTTTACAAAACCCCTAATACCTATGTTCTTTGCTCCATTTTCTTTTAAAAAGAGTTATTTACTTACTTATATTTATAATAAATACTTTGGGGAGCAAATGCTGCACTGGCAATGATCATGCATTTCTCACATGATAACTATAGTAAGTCAGCTAAGATCTCTCTTAAAGTCTTGATTAAATTGATACATTTTACTCATCTTTTGGATTTTTATTTTCAATAAAGTTGGTGTGTTAAAAAAGTTTATGTTAGAGCATGTAAATGTGTGAAATTTTCTTAATTTGTATTAAACCAATTTAGAAATGAAACAGTTACCAGTACTGACCTAAGCTGAAATAACACAAGCCTCATTTAAAATAACTAGTTCTAATCCTCAAACTGCCTTACACACTTGTCTCCATGTTACAGCAGCATTGTTTAATGGTTCTTTTTGATTCAAACTATCTTCCCTAAGGAAAAAAAGAAGAAAGATTTGACATAGAGACTAGTAAAATCTAGATTAGGAATACTACTGTTACTGATTATATTGTTACCTGTTTTGTAAGATAACCTCATATTTTTCAATTCAGTTAATTTCCATCAGTGCAACAACAGGAACTCAGTAGCCGAAAAAGATCCTCCAAGTGTTGAGACAGAACAGAAAAAGAAATGAATAGATCCTTAACAAAAGGCATTTCAGCTTGCTTGCTGCACAAGAACTCTGTCAACAGAAGTATGTGTGAAAATCCCTGGGGCTAGAACAGCCTTCTGCAAGCACTGGCCAAATTATTCAGAGAAAGACACAGCAAGAAAAAAAAGGGGGGGAAAGGGAGCATGAGAGAAAGAGTTCATGCTTGGTAGGAACGCTATAATCATCCTTGACTGTGAGGGATTGCCGATGGTGAAGTACTTCTAAAAATACTGTGTGACTTCATTCTTCATACTATGCCAGACTTTGCCTTTGACACTTTGCCTGACACTGTCACCTGGGGCACCTGGACTCAGTTTCATATTGAACACATTCTGTGTAGGTTGCTATCACTTTTTGAAGGGCGAGAAATTGGCTGAGAAATTCATTTTGACGTGACAAAGGGGTATTAAAATCAGCTTCCCCTCTTTTTAATTCTAAACATCAGTTGTTCTTCTGGAAAGTGATTTTGAGAACTACATTTACAGCCCTAATTTCACTAGGCCTCCCTCCCTTTTTCAGGGACAATTTTTCACTTGTTCTTAAGCATAGACACAATATAAATCAGTGAGGACCCTGGCACATGTTACATTTAGGACACAACCTATTAATCGCACTATAAATAGTAACCCTTCCACACGTTTGGGGAATTAATGCTTCAATAAAATGAGAAGCCTGCCACAAAAATGTTCCACATATTGCAGCTGATTTCCATTGTTCCTTAGATTTTAACATGTGGCTGGTGACATGGTGGATTTTGGGTGAGAGCCATGTGGTGTAGCCCTGTATAGGGCTGTATTTCATGGGTTTAGGTGCCGGGGCAGGAGCCCAGCAACTGATAGGCTGCCCCTGATACCAACAGTCTGACAGCCATATGATGTAGCTGTTCATGTGGCTGTACCCTGTGGTTTTCATGGTACTGTGGTGCAGGGCATCAGCTAGGCCAGGGTGCCAGCTTTCAGCAAACTGCAGGGCTCAGGTATTACTATTTCTACTGTTAGCATATGCATATGCGGCCAAGCCAAGCTACAGCCTGTTTGGTGACTGAGTTCAGCTGACTAGACCCCCACTGAATTTGGCTAGGGGACAGTCCTCTACAAAGTGAAGCACAGCCTTCAACCAGTTACATCCCCAGTTTGGACTGTGCAGAAAGCCCAGAGCATACTGGCTTTGACCAGTGTGGTAATGGAGTGTCGTTAAGTGAGCATGGTAGATCAAAAACTGTTTGCCAAATTATTACATTTTCCACTGTGAAGTGGTTAATCGGTACTGACAGGATAATTTACTCTGCCAGCAAAATGCCACAAAGAAGTCATGACATGGCAAAACAGACCATAGCAGATATCAGGATTTGAGGTGAGCTGGAGAAGGATTAAGATAATCCTGGTAGAGTAGGAAGTGAGGTGACCTTTTGGTCTTTGCTATCATTTTGGCTACAGCATCTTCAGAGCTGGTGTATGATAGCATAATGTTAGTCAGTACTGTAGCTAGAGTAGTGGTGTGGGCCTTAAAATCCCTAAAACTATGCATATGTTTACATGGAGTTACACATCAAACAGCCGAGGGTGGGAGATTAGGTCCCTGAAATTTTGCAGTGTGTGTGTAGCCATGAAGCATAACCAGAGAATTGCATGAATAAATTCTCCTAAGTTATAGTTTAATTTTAAAGAAATATTTGGAGTGGTTTTTATAAAAACAGTGCAAATGGAAAAGCAGCAGCACTCATTCTACTTGTGCTAGGGATCTGCCATTATAACAACTACCATTATATAACATCTTTCATAACTGACTTATCCACAAGCATTTTAGAAACTGTGCCAAAGCTTACTGACTCATTTTATTGAGGGAGGGAAGGAGGAGTGTGCGCACTAATTGCTGGGCTTATTTACATATCAGGCAATCTAACTGACATTATTAGGTTTACACAGGGTATACATCTGCACAGAATTTGGCATATACATGAACAAGTCACACAGCAATATGCAGCTAATTTTAAACGGGTTTTTATCCCACTAGAGCTCTACTGGAAACTCTTTTTCCTCCTCTTCCAAAGTGAGGAAACAATTTATAGTGTCAAAAGTACTTAAACTACCTCCCCAGATGGACTAAGCTACACCAGCAAAGGGACTGCATTACCTATATATTTTATGTTATTTGGTGGCATATGTATATCAGCTAGGAATATGAGGTTTTACCATATCCCTCACGCACACAACTATTCCAGCAAAACTTTTCAAAGGGTAAATCTTTGGTGGACAGAACACCTTTCAAACCTTTGTTCTGTTTGCAGCCAGGAGTGTGAGATGCAAAAACAAGTAACAGGTATAGAGGGCTACAAGTAAATTTCAGTACGAGACAGGGGGCCAAATATAAGTAAGGTGCCTAAACCAAGATATAGGCAGACTTTAGGTAGATAAGGTCAAAACTGTGACCCCCCCCCAAATGGTATTCAGCAGCTGCCTAAACTGTGGAAGTGCTTAAAACTCATTAAGCATCAACCTGGCCTGCCTTGAGAGTTCCCTAAACCCTTGCAATTCTGCAGTCTGTCTATGCCCAGAACTGCCTCAATGTGAGCAGCTCTGTGCCTAATTTCCACCTAAACCCAACTCAGATCCACAAACTAGAGTGCGTGGTACTGATGCCCCCTGAATGACCTAATCTAGTAGATATGCTTTGAGCATAATTAATGCAGGCTGATAAGATCAGGTGCCACAAAAATCACAGCACTAGCTACTGTTTAAAATGCAGCTGAAGGAAGAGGCGCTTCTGTGTATGCTTCTTATGTAAGATGCTAGAAAAACATTCACCCAGGTAGTGGGAGACTTGGGTTTAATCCCACCTCAGAGTGAAGGGACACCAACATCTTCTACGTCCCAGCATAATGTTCTTTCAAGTGACTAGACTTCACATTATTCAGTGTAGAAGAGGCATGCAAGAGCTATTGGGGTCAAAAGGAGAGCAAGAAATATGAAGCATAACTATGCAGCTTAGTAGTTAGTATGTTTAGCTATCAGGACAGAGGAGTGCTACGCTTTAGGAGCCTCCTGCATCTTGTGTATCAGTGTCTCCACACTTAAAAATGGTGGTGGGGGCACTGGAACTAAAGCCTGTTGAACAAGCTTTAGTTCAAGTGCCACTGCCACACTTTTTAACCACAGGGATGCTGATACAGGAGACACAGTGGCCCTTTAGTTAGAGCAGCTGTCAGAGATTCCAGTCCCAGAGTATGTGTAAAAATGCCCTCTGTAGCCAGTTAGTATTGTATTTATTTAGTCAACTTTGCTCTCCCTGTTCTAGCCACTGATTTTGTCTTGAATTTGGGAATGATTAGATAAGTGGTGGGCAATTCTTTTGGCTGGAGCGCTGCCTAATGAGTTTTGCTGACCTGTTGAGGGCTGCAAGGATAGCCCTGCCCCCCTGGAGGTCCCCAGAATCCCAGGTAAGGCTTTTGGGGCCAGCCCAGCGCTGGCCCCAGCCTGCCCTACCCCACCCAGGTTAACTGGCTGTGCACCACAACGTGTATGGTGCAAGCGTTTCTTGGGGACAACTAGGAGCGGCACAAGGTGCACCACCACTAGCTGTCCTCAGGGAAACACGCCCATGCACATCTGGACACAGTCACTTTTGGCTATCAGGAGTCTGCCTTGTTACGGGGGGAGGAGCATCTTTGCTGGTCTTTACTATTGTGTGTGGAGGTGATTCATGCCATGTAATTAAATTCAACCCCCCTACCAGAACTACAAACAGAGAAGCATTGGGGTAAACCTTTGCAATGCATTTTCAGCCCTCATGGTCTTGTTGACACCAAAGACGTGAGCCTGCCTCATAGCAGGTGCCAGGTGGCTGGTTTCTTTGTGAACTGCTGCTTGAGAACTTGGCAACTGGCCCAGCACTGAGTCCACCTGTGGTCATGTTCTCAGGCTGCCTTTTTCCTTATGATCCTCTGATACACTTTCTTATTTCTCTGGCTTGACTTGAGAACACGCCGACTTTCAATCTCATCCCAGATAGTAATAAATCAGTTACTTCTTCTGGAGTCTAGTTGTTGCCGTTCTTGGTCTTATCAGACTGTGGGGCCACGGCAGAGGGAGGCAGGCCAGCTGTGTGGGCCATCCTACAATTGGCAGTGGTCAGAGGATGTGAGCTCCAATACTGTTTTTAAGTGGTGAGCAAACAAAATGGCTGACTAGCTTCCATGCAGGGCAATTAGTAGTTCAAGGAGGGGTGCCACTGGGGACCTGGGCAGTAGAGTTTGTTGGCTAGGGTTATAGTGATGGTGCAGAATGCCAGATGGGGCACAACTGGGGCTAAAGCAATGCAAACTGGGATACCTGGAGGATGGTCTGGTCTGCCAGACCCATAAGTTACTGTACCACAAGGAAGCAGATGTCTTTGGCGTTAAGGCACAAAAAATATGATCATCTCTTGTAATACTGCCTTTTTTGGCCACTTGAAGTATGACAAGGGGCAAGGATGACTCTTTCCTCAGGTTATGTGCCATCATAAAATAAATTTATGGTGGCCCAAAGGCAATACATGGGTGACATCTATTTTTACCCTAAGTTGCACTCCAAACCACAGAATCCAAGTAGAGAAGTCCAAGGCAGTGTTGTTTTGCATGGAACCATGCTGCCAGAGGGAAGGAAGAGGCCGGAAAGAACTATAGGAGGATCTGTGATTTTGAAAAGAACTATTGTGAGAGACATAAGGCCTGTCCACACAGTCTCCATGTTGTTCCTGGAACGTTGCCATGAAGCATATCCTGCCAACTAACTCACTCTTGCTCTGTGCATGCCAATTCCTGGAAATGAAGCAACATGTCTAAGTTGCTGTGGTCCCACCAATAGGTACACCTGACATACATAGCAAGTAAGCAAGTAGCAAGCACCTGAATGTCAAAATTGGGCTTGTGCTGATTTTCAATTTGGTCTTGGCAACAGAATACCATGCAAAGTACAACTTAAACACTTAACTGTGTTTTTGGATCTGGC